ACACATAGCGGTTAGCATAACTTTATCTCGCTTACTAGCAAACGAAGGATTAAGGCAAAGAATTTAAATGAAGTGGAATTCATACTTTTTTCCACGAGATCATGGCTTAAACCATTTTTTAAAATCATGTTCTACATATTGTTCAGGTAATTTGTACAATAAATAAATTTGACTATTACACCTTTAAAGTGTCTCAGATGTCAGTCTTTACGACAGAAAAAAAAACACACTCAAGCCTCTTCAGTGTACCAGACTCTACTGGAACTTCAAATGGGATCGGGTTCTATGGTCAGATGAAACCAAAATAGAGCTTTTTGGTAATAAACACTAATAAACAGGTGGTTTTGGTACACAGAGAGGTAGCCATATGGAAAAGTACCTCACGCCCACGGTTAAATATGGTGGTGGCTCTTTAATGTTTTGGGGCTGTTTTTCTGCCAGAGGACCTGGACATTTTGTTAGGATACACGGCATCATGGACTCCATCAAATTCAACAGATATTAGATAAATGAAATGACAGATAAATGAAAACCTGACCGTCTCTGTCAGAAAGCTTAAAATGGGCCGTGGTTGGATCTTCTAGCAGGACAATGATCTAAATACATAAATATCAACCAAAAAAATGGTTTACTGACCATAAAATCAAAATCCTGCCATGGTCATCCCAGACCCCTGACTTGAAACCCATAGAAAACCTGTGGGGTGAACTGAAGAGGAGAGCCATGTATTTTCATGTATTCTCCAACCTCATCAGGTATTACAGGAGGAGACACAGATGTTATCTTGGCAAAGGGGGGTGGCACAAAGTATTGACTAATAGAGTGCCAATAATTGTTGCACACCTATATTTAAAAAAAATATATATATATATATATATATATATATATATATATATAAACCTGTGCGTTGTTTGCAGTTGTTTGATATCCATGAGAGCAGAGTATTTCTGTAAATTTTTTTTTTCTTTTTAAGATCAAAAAGTTGAACAATAAATACAAATTTTCAGCCTTCTTTGCTCATATTTACCAAGGGTGCCAATATTAGTGGAGGGCGCTGTAAATCAGAGCCAACCAAATGTAAACAGAGGCCTGAAATGAAGCTAAATAACTATTCTGAGTGAAGAGCTCCCCAAACGAAGTTAGCAGCAGTAAAGTCATTTCTATTCAGACCGTTGTACTGTAATTGCCAGTAAAATGGTTATTTCCTGCTCAAACTCCAATTATTTCTTTGATTTCACGAAATAATTTCCGTTTTCAGCTTCAATTTTCAGACCAGTCTTAGGCACAAGGCTTGGAGGTGAGGATGCTCGTTACAACACAATGTTCTACCAAACAAGCTAAAATACTTACATTATTATAATAGTATATATATTCGTTCTATATTAAAATTAGGTTGAGTTTTTCTATGTACAACAACAACAACTTCACATGTAATTAATTAACGCATTCTTGATATTTAAACTCTAAAAGAACATAGATTTATACTTTCAGACAACCTGCTGCATTGGTTGCCAGTAAAACACACCACAATAGTGTGAATCTAAAAACAGAACGAGGTCTAGGTTTAGATTTTCACATCACACCCGAAGACCTTCTCTTGAGCCTGATGCAATATTCATAATCCGTGGGTCATACCAGACAATGACAGAGCAGCACATTTAAAAAGATAATGTAATGGTTGTCCTATCCGGCGTATAACTACCAAAAGTCGAAAAGTGGCCGTACTCCAAAAGGCTTGTAATGATGTGTCGGGGACAGAGGCTGATTTAGGATCACCTTTTCCCTGCAGACATATCCTAGATCTTACGGTCTTGATCCGCGTGTAGATACGGATGCCCGGGTGTCAGTTTGCTTTCGCTTGCTGAGTGTTGAGGCTGAATGTGACGCGAGTATCCTAGTATGTTTGTAGCTGTTCATTTAGCTCTATGGGTGCTAAGTAGAATGTGTGCCATGACGCCCTGATTGATTAATATGAAGTAGGTTCCTTATTTCAGTATCAGTATTAACCAGAACCAAAAAAACATACACCTCAGACTCAAAACAAACGGCATTCATGTTTCTTTATTGCTGAGTATGTATGTGTGCATGTAGGTCATTCTGAACTCGATAGATAGATAGATAGATAGATAGATAGATAGATAGACAGATAGACAGATAGACAGATAGACAGATAGATAGAAAAAGCATTATCTGAGAAGGCCCTCTATGCCCATAAAAAAGTGTCACTTCACTTCACTTCATATGGAGCTGTGCTAACAACACGCTGGCTGCTCATACCGCGTTACTCTGGTCTATTATTATGCCGAGCTATTATATTACGCCTAATAAACTGAGTGAATATTCATCCTCCCTGAACACAGTAGCAATATTAAATCAACCTTATTTTTAGCTTCTCAAGTCCTCTGAGCCACAGCAGGCCTCCAGACAAACATCCATAATAAAACATTACATTGCTCACACATGCACAAAACCTATTTATAGCTCACTTACATGAGCAGAGTACTGTCAGACGACCCTGTATGTGCTAATCCCCCCCCCCACCACACACACACACAAATAGGGGCACACGCAAACTCAAAAAATGCACACATATGCGCCTACTCCTGCCCCCGTCCGCTCGCATACTCTGTTCTATTTATACAAACGACAAAAAATAAATTAAAAAAAAACACATGCGATCGAAGAGCACAGAGGCGCAAGACGACCCTGGTGGATTTTCTATTTCACCATGTGTCCGTCCTTCTCGCTCGCGCACACCCTCGCAGAGCTTACGTCCACTTTGCATAATCATAGGCCTGTCACCGGTGAACAGATAACACCTTCAACCTCTAAGACACCACACTTGATCACTTTTTTTTGTGTGTGTGTGCCAGAGCTGCAGTACAATCTTATTTACAGAATATTGTTTCCCCCAAGCCCACTGGTTGTACTCGAAGGCTTTCCACTGGGAACGAACGGCAGAGTTGACGACGATGTGCACGTTCACAGTGCGACGAGACAGAAATAAATCCAGGAACAGGGGGAAACGATAAGAGGGAAACAAATGGACGAGGAGTGGCGTGCCAGTGTCAGCAAACGCAGCTTCCCAGGCTTGCGCCTGGACACTAAAAAGAAGCCACGACAATCTGGCAGTGTCAGGGAACATGCATGACTGGCTGTTTAGAAGGCACACATTCCTCTTCAAGGCCGAACAAGGAGCATAACGAGCAAACCCATCGGTCTGTTCAACCTCCCACTAGTAAAGACAGAAGCTTCGATTTCTTTTCTTGGCTAGCAAGTTCACACTGTCAGACTAGAAGCAGGAACTGACTGATTTACAGGCTACAGGAATATAGAGTTACGTCACGTCACATTGCATTTTGGAGGCAGCAGACATCTTGTGATCTGCGGAACGTCCGCGGGAATTTTGAAAAAATTGCTAACTCTCGCGAATATCGCAGGGTTTCCTTGATTTCGCGTTCATCCCAGTCGTAGAATCCGAGTGGGGCCGAGTAAAAACTCATCCACAGTCCCATTTCTAATCTGCAGAGTCACAATTACACAGGCTCAGAATTCAATTGCAAATAATTCTGATAGTTCATGAAGTCTGCATTTCGCTTTATGTTTTGCCGCGTGAGCCGCTACATCACCGATTTCATCACAGAATTGTAATAGAAAAGAAAACGCTTTATATATATATATAAAGTAGAAAACTAAAATGATCATGAATTTGTAATGAGGCAGGTCATAATTATATGCTTTCCATGACCAAACATTGTCTTATAATCTTCGTCTGTGTTCTCTGTGCAAAGTTATTAGTAAATATAAAGTTATAAATATTATAAAGTAAATACGTTTTGGACGCATCAACATTTTTTTTCAGTAAATATATTTCCAATGAGGCTATTCATATGAGATTTTCACCAGACGTCAGTATTAACTCCAGAAATCTAAAGAATGTACAACATTAAAGTCCATAAATGAAGTTATGTGTAATAAAGAGGAATGACACACAGAGGGGGAAAAAAGTATTGAACACGCTAACTGAAATTTATGTAATACAATGACCGCTTCAAGACACTTCCTGTATGAAGAAATTAATCGGCCGCAGTATTCGGGTGTGATTTTGGCCCATTCTTCTAAACATATTTCAGAAATCTTACGCAGAGCTCCTGTCTGTATCAAATTATAAATACGTCTGTATCAAATTCCAACAATATGTTTTGCACTAAGAAGGGGGCGAAGGTCTTGGGAGAACTCTTTGCTTTTATCCATCATGAGATGTTTCTTGTGTGACACCTTGGTAACGAAAATCCTTTTTATAGCCCATCGATTGACTAACCCAGCTGATATTCATTTGCACAGATAGGGGGTATAATTACTTATGGATTTCAGCTGGTTCCTTGCCTTACCGAACTGCTTTTTCTTAGTGTGTACAATACTTTTTTTCCCTGTGTCATTGCACTTTATTACACATTTATGGACTTTAATGTTGTCAATTCTTTATATTTCCAGATTTCTTGGGTTAATTCTGATGTCTGGTGAAATTTTCATGTGAATAGTCTCATTGGAAATATATTTACTGAAAAATATGTTGACGCATACAATACTTGTTTCCCCCGACTGTACATTATAGACACAGGAATGCGGGTCTTTCGTTTGCTCTATCAGAGCACATAAAGCTCATATAAAGCTACTTAAACTGCACTGTACGGTAACAGGTCTGAGGGGATATTGGTACTGTTCTACTGGCCTACAGCAAGTAGCTAGACGGTGATCACTAGTGATAACTCTAATGTGGATGTTGATGATTACCTTCTCAAGACAGTGATTAGTATGGCCAAGACACTCAGGGAAGGAAACAGGAAAGGAGCTGGTTGTGGAGAAGACTACCCTAAGTTGATGAGTATTTTGGGGGTTCGGTGTTTCTGTGGTTTAACCCTGCATTATTAACGGTGCTTAATTCGTTTAGATGCTATAGTTTGACATCCCACTCGTGTAGATGCTATAGTTTGACATACCACAGTGGTAGCTCAGTGGTTAAGGTGTTGGTTTACTACTTAGACGGTCATGAGTTCAAACCTCAGCACTGTCAAGCTGTGATTGTTGGGACTTAACCCCTCAATTGCTCAGATGTGTGCATAAGATAAAAGTAAGTCGCTTTGGTTAAGGGCGTCTGCCAAATGTAAATGTAATCCCAGCAGCCTTTGTCCCACTATAACCTATGACATTCTGATACAATGCTGAGCATGGTCGTCTTCTTGCTTCAGGGCTCTTTCGGTTTTGGCATGGGGCACAAATCCATAAACTGAATCTAGTAAACTTTCAGTTGTTACATGACCTACACCTCAAATACTCGCCACAAACCTCAATACAAAATCTGAGAGATTTCGAACAGACAGCCTTAGCACCGTGGACTGTCGCGCCATCCTGCTATCCTAATTAAAGCCGAGACGGCTCTTATCTTGACAAAGCAGCGACTCCAACAAAATCAGCCTCGGTGCAGCATTGAGAAACGGAAACGGGGCACACTAGCCAAAATAGCACTGAAATCACCAGGGCAAGGGGGAGCAGCAGCTTGAATCCTGTACGAAGCCGAGCTGCTGCAGACGCGTTGGGACTAAACGTGCCCAGATCCAGATTAGGACAAAGAGCCGAGCTGAGAAGCGCATCCTTCTGTCAATACTAATCAAATCTCAAATAAGCAGCATGATCAGATAATAATCATGTCAATAATAATAATAATCATAATCATAATAATAATAATAATAATAATGTCCTTCTATCCGCGATATTATAATGATGAAAAAGGAAATTCCTTCATAATACAGCTCATACACAGGCTGTAAATTTAAACTGATGCGTATGAAACACTCCTGCATTTTGAGTGGAGAGCAGACACAGAGGTGATATTTGGAAGTTGTCACTATCTAGGCTACGGTCATCAAATCTTTCCATGTTAACGACATTAATATGCGCAAGAGGGAGAAAAAAATGATCATTCCACTGAAAAACAAACCACATGCTACTAAGGGTGGCAAAGTAAGACACCTCAACTTATGTAACCAGGTCTACCCTATTTTTTCCCCTCCTCCTCCTCCTCATCCACCTCCATATCTCCATACTCAGAGTGCAGCTAGCTGGCTAGTAGCTTTCAAACAAAAACAAGGAAAAATGCAGCATCCTGATTGGCTAATCCTGTTTCTCAACACTCAACAAAAGTGAGTAACAAAACAACGACGACAAAGAAATGCGTTCGTTTGACGTCTGGGCCGGTTAAATTCACTATGTGGCCATCAGACCTACATGTGAACCTTCCTCAAACTGTTGGCACCCAGTTCGAAGCACAAGAACGTTTTGTAGGCTGCAGCTTTAAAGATTTCGCTTCACAGGAACCATGTAGCCCGAGCACATTTCAGCATGACAGCGGCTTGGTTTGCCAAGGTGGAGTTTAAGAACTCGAGTGTCCTGCACATGACCCTGACACCTTTGTGATGAACTGGAATGCTGACTACATGCCTCTACAGACCTCCGCACCCAACATCACTGCCGAACCTTACTAATACTCTTGTGGCTAAATGAGCACAAATCCCCAGAGTCACACTCCAAAATCTAGTGGAAAGTCTTCCCAGAAGAGTGGAGAGTATTAGAACAGCAAAGGGGGGACTCAACAAGCACGTACGGGTATGATGCTCAGGTGTCCAATTACTTCTGGCCATACCGTCTATGGAGAAATCATAATGATGACTTTGTTGCCCTTTGATGAACGATTACGTGTGAACAAAATATAATGCTACTTGATACGATATAGCTTACTCCTTAGCCACAGGTTGGTAAAACACTCTGAGGCACAAGCTCCACTCTGTTCGAAACCATGTTCTCAACCAAGGCACAACTGGAAAAGGAAATAGTGTGTGAGAGGACACCCAGCCAAAAACTGCCCATGGGTAAACACACAGAGAACAGGTAGGAGCCATCCAAAAATAAATAAGTAATAATTTTCCCATGACTGAACGTGAAAATAAAGGCAAAATATGTTTTCCTGTATTTATGTCTAGATATACTATTGTATTGATCACTATACTAAAGGAACACGGTTCTGAGATGATATGACGATCATTATTAAAGTCACTGTGAAATGCGTAGCTTTATTCCATGTGTTGATGTCATTTCCACTGGAAGTCGGGGCGGGACATAACAGGTGGCTCCTCCCCCTTTGATAGTCGATTAAACCTACAGGCGTGTTCGACTTCGGTTGCGGCTGGACGTATCCGATCGCCGAGAGTTTCCGCTTGCGGTCGGGGGAGGAGTTGGAAACGGAGGCGTCGAGTCGGACACTTCCTGCTTCCCAAAGTGACACCCACACGGTTTCTTTTGCTTCCTTTATCGCCGACGGAGCGGATTAGATGTAATATTTCTCAGATAAACAGACGTCTGAATTTCACATGTAGCAACCAGAAACACTTTTCACTGAATTAAAGGTTAAGTTTGATCAGTTTTTTTTATATAAACATGACACAATATGAACATTAAGATTATTCCATGAAAATAATCCAGCTTTGCGAGCCTTAGCAGAACCGAAGGGGTCAGAACGAACATGAAAAGCGCGTCATCGTCGTCGAGTCTGGCCGATCGTGAAACAGCCGTGTCCTCATGCAGCCGGTCTGGAGGAGCTGCGCTGGCCGAGGGAGCCGGTTCTCCCGTATGACTATCGCGATACCTTCACGCTATACATCGGCGTGAGGCGGCGTCGGCACCGTATCGAGTCGAACAAAAAGTTTAAGCCGCCACCGATCGGTCTGCGCCGCGCCGCATGAAGTCGCGTCAGATTCTACAGAGCATTTGATTGGACAGAAAATCTGACGTGTAGAATGAGGTCATCAGAACAGTTGATCTGTATTGGTGGTAGAGAGACTGAATTTTGAAAGAGACTTTGAAATCTCTTCTAAACGCCAATTGTGTCACTGTTTTGGAGCACACTAGCTTACAGATAACCTTACGACGAACATATTCCTACTAAACGCCACAAAACTTTGATTTCATCTTGTTTATCTACGCAAATCAGCAAACAAAACAAAGTATCATTTAGCAAATAAAGCAGCTGTTGCTATTTATGGCGTCTGTACAAAGGAAACAAGTGACTACGCAATCTGAAAGCTGTTAAAGCATCGCAGTGTGACATCACTGCGACCGGCGTGACATCATGTGGCGCTGCTCGCCATGTCTGACTGATGAACGTAACCGATTTCAGAGAGAGAGTGGAATTTTTCAGCGGGTCGATGCGCCCTGACCCTTTCGAACAGGTTCATTAATAGGTAACGCAGCGCAGCTTTATGGGCTCGGTATTGTGACAGGCTGAACAAATCAGATTCACTGTTGGAGAGGCTAGAAAGTTCAAATTAAATAAAAGAATACGCCCTTAAACAAGGTGTGATCATTCAACACACTACATCTGCAATGAGTAACCACGGAGAGAGAGAGAGACAGGCAGAGAGAGACAGAGAGAGAGAGAGCGAGACAGAGAGAGAAACAGAAAGAGAGAGAAAGAGAGACAGTGAGAGAGAGACAGTGAGAGAGAAAGACAGACGGGGAGGGGGGGGGGGGGTGAAGGCCAGGGCTCACGGATTGAAAACACTTGAAATGTTCCAGTAATCTCCACAACAGAGTTCATCAGATGTTTAATCCTCCAGTCTCAGTTCACACACACACACTCACACACACACACTACACACACACACTCACACACACACACACACACACTCAGATAGGTATGATGTGTAACTAAATATAACTAGCTACTGTCTCTGTCGCTAAATCCCACAGAAAATAGCCAGGTCCTTTATCGTTTGTGTTTTGCAACAGCGGGCCTGGTGACAACTCCCTGACGGAGCCCTGTACACCCTGTACACTCCGACTCCCTGACGGAGCCCTGTACACCCTGTACACTCCGACTCCCTGACGGAGCCCTGTACACCCTGTACACCCCGACTCCCTGACGGAGAGCCCTGTACACCCTGTATACCCCGACTCCCTACTGAGCCCTGTACACCCTGTACACCCGACTCCCTGACGGAGCCCTGTACACCCTGTACACCCGACTCCGCTAAGGAGACCTGTACACCCTTAGCACCCCACTCTCTACGAGCCCTGTACACCCTGTACACCCGACTCCCTACTGAGCCCTGTACACCCTGTACACCCGACTCCCTGACGGAGCCCTGTACACCCTGTACACCCCGACTCCCTGACGGAGCCCTGTACACCCCGACTCCCTGACGGAGCCCTGTACACCCTGTACACCCCGACTCCCTGACGGAGCCCTGTACACCCTGACTCCCTGACGGAGCCCTGTACACCCTGTACACCCGACTCCCTGACGGAGCCCTGTAACCTGTACCACTCTGGCTCCTAGACAGAGCCCTGTAATCTACACCCCGACTCCCCTGACGGAGGCCCTGTAACCCTGTAACCCCAGACTCCCTGGAGCCCTGTACACCCTGCACACCCCGTCTCCCTGACGGAGCCCTGTACACCCTGTACACCCCGACTCCCTGACGGAGCCCTGTACACCCTGTACACCCCGACTCCCTGACGGAGCCCTGTACACCCTGTACACCCCGACTCCCTGACGGAGCCCTGTACACCCTGTACACCCCGACTCCCTGACGGAGCCTTGCACACCCTATACCCCGTCTCCCTGACGGGCCCTGTACACCCTACTCCGACTCTCCTGAGGGCCTGTAACCCTGCCACCCCGTCTCCCTGACGGAGCCCGTACACCCTGTACCCCCGACTCCCTGACGAGCCCTGTACACCCGACTCCCTGACGGAGCCCTGTACACCCTGTACACCGTCCTGACGGAGAGCCCTGTACACCCTGTACACCCCGTCTCCCTGACGGAGGCCTGTACACCCTGTACACCCCGTCTCCCCTGACGGAGCCTGTAACCCTGTACACCCCGACTCCTGACGGAGCCCTGTACACCCTGTACACCCACTCTCCTGACGGAGCCCTGTACACCCTGTACACCCCGCTCCCTGACGAGCCCTGTACACCCCGACTCCCTGACGGAGAGCCCTGTACACCCTGTACAC